AGTAAGATGAAGACTGACCACGGCTACAATCATAAGGGAAGGAACAGCTGTCAAATACAGAAATTGTATCTATTCCAAATCAAGATACCCCTAACTAGAAATTCCAGTAATTTGAGGGCCAGGCACAGTGGTTCTTGCCTATAATCCCAGCACTTTGGGAGGCCAAAACAGGCAGATCACTTGAGGTCAGGAGTTCGAGCCTGGCCAACATGGCGAAATGCCATCTCTACTAAAAATACAAAATGTAGCCAGTCATGGTGGCGCGTGCCTGTAAACCCAGCTACTCAGGAGGCTGAGGCATGAGAATTGCTTGGAACTGGGAGGTGGAGACTGCAGTGAGATTGCGCCACTGCACTCTAGTGTGGGTGACAGAGTGAGACTCCATCTCAAAACAAAACAAATACCAAAAAGAAATTCCAGTAATTTGAGAGGACATGATGTTTGGTATGTTTCCTGTCAAATATGTCTCAACATTTAAAAATCCTACCTGAGGCATAATATGGGGCTCTTAATAAACTACCGAACACATTTATTAAAACTTAAGTCCTCATCTAATGTATTTCTCCAAGGAAGTTTTGACACATTGCAGATCTTAACTAATTAGGTAAATTCCATTCCATTCAATCACTCACTGAGTGACTTCCAAGTGCAAGGTAGTGCACTACCTGCTATGGGGGTTGCTGAGATGAGAGAGAGGGCTCAGCCTTCCAGTAGCTTGGCCAATTAATCTTCTCAGTTTCCATTTCAGATCAAGGAAGCTGCATCTCCTTTCACAAATGTAAGAGAAAGCAATCTTTATTTAAGGTGATTAACCTACAACCTGGGAAATACATTTTCTAGCGACGTAGTTAATAAGAAAGCAAAGAGACTTCTTAATACCTGTGACTGCGGACACTGTTGTGTGTTCATTTCTAAGTTTACCCCAGCCCAGTTTACACCCAGTCACTCTTGTCATCATTGCACGACCACAGCATGTCCTGTTGTTTCATGTTGCAACTATAACTTGTAAAATCAGACTTCAGAACCGAGATAGTCAAGCTAAATAACTGCCTACTTTAAAAAATATGTATGTATATAATTGACATGCCAGTTCAGTAAGCTCTTGAATTATGATCTCTGGAAGTCAGAACCGTCACCATTTTAAAAAATATAGTTTCACTGTCGCAATTCTTCTTTAGGCAAGCCCTACCCCTGTTTTTGCAGTTTTCTAAGCAGTACTTTATACTGGCCTATTGCAATCTGCTTTTTGTGTTTTATGGAGACTCCAATTAAGCACCATTTTTATTTACTCCATGCTATGGGACTTTTAAAACTGAGGTCCAAAGAATGGCCAAAGATGTATTTGTTTGCTAAAAACCTACTAATAAAAGTATCTTTACACAGTAAAACTGGACAAAAAAGGTCAGTGAAACATCTGAAAACCCACCATGTACTTTGTGTAGGGCCCTCCGACCCATGTTATATATCATGTAACCCTTCCCTCACCCTGGGAGGGAGACTTCACTATATTCATTTCCAACATAATATTTTTAGGAGATGTATCTTTTCATGAAGACTGATTAGCCCAATATCTCTGAGTGAATTCCTATTGACTAGATGCGTAAGTTGATTTACATAGTCAATATGTTCCTGAAAAACTGGAGGCAAATCAACTTTTACATACAGATTATTTTCTTTTTTTTTTGAGACGGAGTTTCGCTCTTGTTACCCAGGCTGGATTGCAATGCCGCGATCTCGGCTCACCGCAACCTCTGCCTCCTGGGTTCGGGCAATTCTCCTGCCTCAGCCTCCCGAGTAGCTGGGATTACAGGCACGCACCACTATGCCCAGCTAATTTTTTGAATTTTTAGTAGAGACGGGGTTTCACCATGTTGACCAGGATGGTCTCGATCTCTTGACCTCGTGATCCACCCGCCTCGGCCTCCCAAAGTGCTGGGATTACTTTCATGTAAACTTGCTTTGTAAGATCAGACCTGCCATACCCTGGCTTCTGATATTCAGCACTGTGCTGCTCAGAGAGCTTGCTGGAGTCTGCAGCCTATCCATGGGTACACACCGGTTCTTAACAACTCTCTGATGAGTTTGGATAATGAGGTCCAGAACGTAACAGTTTAAAATCACCTAAAATAAGCAGTGACCACACTTTGAGATATTTGCTAAACATCAGGAGAGAAAAATACACACAAAGCAATGCTCCCTCCTCCCTTTATATTTGGTTTTAAGAATCTGGAATAAAACAAAGTATCATAAGACAGTGAGGTTTGACCAATTTCTCTGTTAACTGGCATTCTCCTTCTACAATGTCCCTCCAGAATTACTGTGCTGTTACCCCTTAGTTAGGGCCACCCTCAAAGTAGAGCTGGAAGGAAACTTCAAAGGATACAGAGCTCCAAGACCTCTGTCCTTAAACCCGTGAGCTACACATGACACCTCATTACATGGCTGTAAGTTGTATTGATAAATTCAACTGAAGACAGTCATACTTATCACCTTAGGACCCTTCTGTAAATATGTCACGTGCGTTCTCCTGCCCTATTGGAAGGTGACATGACATTCTCTCTCCCAGCCTTTGGTATCTCCTTCTTCAGACAAAAAACAAAACACCTCCTAGAAGAGGGCTGCTTAGAGCCTGGAGCAAGCTGCTCGGAATGCAAAACTCAAAGCTTGCCTGTTCACAAATGCAACACAGTGCTGAGATATGATCCACTTGGAAACTGTATCCATAATGGTGCAAACCACCTTCCTTCTTAGCAGGGTTTTTGAATCAGTCAGAGCAAAAAGTACCAAAGCTCTTGAATTATGCCCTGTGATTCTTCAAGAAGCTCAAAGCCCTTCAGACAGTGGCCTATTAATTCCCAGAAACCCATGTTGAATGATAGAGTGAGATGGGAGGAGGGATAAATTTCTAGCCAAGAAAACAAAATTACCAGTTTTCTAAACTCAGAGTTAAATTAAGTCAACCCTGAAGAGGGAAGGTGGAACTTTAAGGTTCTAGGAAGAACTTTTAATACTGAAGGATGTGAGACCTCTCTACCACCCAAGGCCATTTTTCTTTGGAAACATGCCCCAATTGTGATAAATCTAGACAACAGGAACACCCCGTCCCTCCTCAGGCACCCACCCACCCAAGAATTGAGCGCACTGGTCTTTGTTGCCCTTTTTATAAGCCTCCAGGACTGTTCTCTGAAGCAGGCTTGCACAGCAGTAAACATTAAGTGACATTCTATTTCAATGATGCATTTGTGATCTGTGAAGTGCCAGTCCCAGCATTGGTTTAACGCCTATAAATACACTCAGTTGTCCTATCACTGGGACTTCCTACTTTGTAAGTAGCAAAATAAAAATAGGTGATCCAATCCAAATTAATTTCCATATCTGACAATTGCATTTCCAGCCAACACGGAACATGTTCTATCCATCCTACAATCCAGCTCTAGACTTATGAAAAAGGGGAGAAAAACCCCAAACTCAGCATCTTGAACTTAAAAGACCCTTCAGAAACATCACCTTCTCCCCACAACAGTGCTGAAGTAGCGCAGGCCCACTCCACCTATGTTTGTTTCTACCCTGGTGCATCCCAATGCTATCAAATTCAAAGGTTATTCCCATTAGGCAGAAGCTGAGCCCATCCCCTTGAATAAGGAGGTAATCATTACATCTGCCTGTGTAATGAACTTGTCATTTCCCCAAACAGGCTGGACAGTCTCCTAAAAAAAAAAAAAAAAAAAAAAAAGAGAGAGAAAAGAAAAAAGTACTCCATGGAATCTGTGGCGTGTCAGCCACCCCTCCCAATATCTGAGTCACACTACGTGTGTCTCTACGGAGGTTCTGGGTGCCCAGGGTGTATCACTTTCAGAGTTGCTTCAGTAACTGAACTATGGCTGTCTTCCAGCCACGGACAACACAAGCACTATCTATTTTAAAACAATTTTCCTAACCCACAGGCAATGGAAGAGATCCCACAGGTCACCGACTTCCTATTGGAAACAAATTATTTATCTCTCAAACTGTGCACGCCATCTCTCAGAATTAATGCGAGTTTATGAGGGCGAATTTTTGTCTTTGGCCATGCAACTCTTGGGGCAAAGAGGGCCACCCCAAATTTTACCGACATGACTGAGCCATTCAGATCTTTAGAAGGTAAATGAATGGGTGATGAGAGCCCTTAAGCCAGAACTTCTCTGTCATAAACAGTTAAGTGGGAAAGGAAAAAAGGAAAACAAAAACAAGAAACCAACCCTCGGTAGAGGGAGGGGGCAGGGTGGATGATCGGAAAGGACGGTAACCAGCAGACTAAAGGCAGCCGCGGCGGCGGCGACACTTCGCGAACTGCCTGCAGAGGGGAGTGAAATCTGTTTCGTGTACAATAACCAAGCACCCTCTGGCTGCCTCGCATGGGCAAGAATAATAAATACACCGAGGTGGGCAAGCAGATGCACCGAAACGAGCCACCCCAAAAAGGTCAAAACTTCAGAAACCCCGGGGGTCGCACCACCCACACAAACACATCAATCAGTCGGAGCGGGAGACGGGACTTGGATACTTAGCAAAGGATCCTAAATGGTGTTTTTTTTCTTTCAAGCTCTGGCTTGCAAAGTACGGCGGCCACAAGCAAAGCTAGAGAGCAGGAAGGCTGAGGGCGGCGGGGTGCGGATGGGAAGGGAGGGGTGTCTAACACCAGCCGCCCAGGCCTCCGTGTGACGAAAGTCGTCAGCAGCCCGGACCGCATCCCAGCCCCTCCGCCCCGGCCGGCAGACGCCCCTCGCGGCTACCCCACCCCAGCTTCCGTCCCTGGCAGCAGCCGCGCCAGCCCCGCACCAGCCAGCCCCTGCCCGGGCCCCGCGCCGTCAGCGCCACGACCGCGGCTCCCATCCCTTCCGCGAGGCAGACACCCCGCAGGCCTCCCTCCCTGCCCACCCGGGGATGCCCGGGGAGCCGAGCCGGGGCGGGCTGCACCGCCAGCTACCCCCGCCCCAGAGCAGGCGATGGCTCCCGCTTACCTTGGGCGCTCGCGGGGGGGCTGAAGGTGGCAAGCCTCCCGCCCCCCGCCCCTGTCCTCCTCGCCGTTTTTCTTCCTCCCTCCTCCTCCTCTTCCTCCTCGTCCCCACAGTGCGTCTGGGGCTCCCCCTCCTCCCTGCCGCTTGGAGTAAGAGCCCAAAACCCCGAAGCCGGGCCCGCGTGCGAGCGTGCGGGAGGCGGCGGCGCGCGGCCAGCTCTCCAGTAACTGAGCGCGGCGCGCAGCTCCCAACTAAAGTGTGAAAGAAGCGGCGGCCGCGGCACAGAACGTCCCCCCGGGAGTGGGCAGGGAGCGAGCCGGAGCTGGCGGGGAGCGAGCGAGGGAGGGGAGCTGCTCGCCCAGTCACTCACTCGAGGGGCGGGGGCAGCGGACACTCCCCCACCGCCGGCCCCTCCCCGCGCCCGGCTCCCGCTCTCGCCTCGCTCCCCTCCCCGGGGCGGGGCCTGCGGAGGCCGCCGGGGCGAGGCGCGCAGGGGAGCTGGCTGGGGGCTGCTCGGGCTGCGGGGCGGGAAGCAGGCGGGGGTGTGCGGTTGTGTGTGGTGTGTACGTGTGTGTGTGCGCGCGCCCTGCAGCGGCCGCCCAGCAGGAGGGAAGACCCCGGCGGGAAGATCGCGTCCCGTCCGGCCTTGCCGGGCCTGTCACTCGGGCGGTGGCGTGGGAGCGGCGACGGGCGGCCGGGTGGGCCCAGTTCTACCGGAGATTCGGGCCAGCCCCTGGGCCCAGCCTCGGGGCTGTGCCTGCTGGAAGCAGACGGAGGGAAAGCCGGGCGTCCTCGGCCCACCGCGCAGCCGCTCCTGTCCAGGGCCGGCTGGACTGGCCCCGCCGCGGTCCGCCCCCACATTGATCCCAGCTGCGGCGCCTGCAAGATGAACGAAGCATCCGCGATTCGGCAGAAGCGGCACCTGGAGGAAAGACAGGATCGTGCTGCATCCCTCTCCCCACCCTCCTCAGCCTTCTAGGACCTAAAGGCGTAGGCTGCGTCTGCTGGGCGCGTCCGGAGTGGGTCCAGAGAGATCACCATCCACCACTGCATCCGTCCAGTTCTTTGTGGACCCTCACAGAAGCTCAATCAATTTCCCACCCTCTGGAAAAGGGTATTTTTCTTCTCTTCCCGGGCATATTGGGTGCTTCGTGTGTGCACCTAATTGATCTTTTTCCATTGATAGCCTTTGGATGTCTTTTGTGCGGCTTCCCCCCCCCCCCCCCGCGCACTTCACTGCTCTCTCATTGCCTTAGACACGCAAGGAATGTCAGGCCCCTAGAGTGAGAACACCCAAGAAAACAATAGGGGCAAAAGAGCCTCCTTGGGCTTTGCGGATTATCCACAAACCAGATCATTTCCCACATTCGGCCAGGATAAAGTTGGGAAACGGAAAAGGACACATCAAAGCGGTGACACTGATGAGAAAAGCAAATTCATAATTTAGTGTAATGAAATGAGTTAGTAATCACTAATATCTAGGAAATTGGCCTTTTTTGAAAACTGGATTTCCCTTTTTCCACCTTTTTTTTTTTTTTAAATTTAAAGGCTAGTTTCCCATTGTTGTTGTTTTAATTTTTATTGTTTTCAGGGATGGGGTCTCCTGCCAAGGCTGGATTTGAACTCCTGGGCCCAAGAGATCCTCCTCAAGGGATCTTCCCCATCTCAGCCTCCCCAGTAACTGGGACTACAGGCCAATGCCGCCACACCCTGCCTAACATCACATAGTTCAGGAACCTGAACTTACATTCCATTTTTACAAAATATCCATATTCTGGTTCATTCTTCTTGGAGCCCAAATACTTTGTAGTCTAGCCTCTTGGAAAGGAGCAGTTAAGAAGGGAGCATAGACAAATTGGGATTTCAATCACAGGCAGGGTGATTCCCTTCACCATAGGTGACTTGTTTCATTTCTTCTTTCCTCATCTGTAAAGGGGATTGATAATGATCGTTCCTATCTCGTAAGTTTGTTGTGAAGGTAAAAAGAAAATGAGGTGGCAATGCATGAAGAACACTTTGCATAGGAGAACTCAATAAATAGAAGCTATTGTTTCAGACTTGATTCTTCTAAACTCAAATTTGGTAGAATTTTATTCTCTTTCCATTCCTTCTGAAAAGTTAGGGAGGGGAATGGACCCAGTTGCTGGATTTATTCAAATGTAGTCCACTCTTTCCTTGATTTTATGCCATGCCTGCAACTTTTGCCTGTGGTAAAATGAAATAAATACATAACTGAGGAGTGTGTGTGTGTGTGTGTGTGTGTACGTGTGTACCTATATAAAAGGATCTTTGAGGACAATAAGTTTTGTTCTTTCCCTCCTTTTTCCTCCCCTCATCTACACAGACCACCCTGAATAGATGGAGCTCTGTGAGGCTGACCAGTGTACCCCTTCAGGGCTCAGACAGTGGTTGGTACTGCAGCTTTCTTGAGGGCAAGACTATTGGGTTTGTTTGGCTTATCCTCAGAACTCACAGAAGGCCACAGAAGAAGCACTACATGTGTAGATGAAAGAACAGCTATACTACAAACTTTTAAAGCCAGGTTTAGATTACTCAAGATAATACAGGTTCATTGTGGAAATTTTCAACATTTGAAAAAAACTAAGTACAAAGAAAATGAAAATCATAATTCCACCATCCAGAGAGAGGCACTCAATAAGTGCTTCAAGTTTATCTATTCTCCCTTCATTTATTTCATCATCATTCAATCAACAAACATTTATTTATTTATTTATTTTTTTGAGACGGAGTTTCGCTGTTGTTACCCAGGCTGGAGTGCAATGGCGCGATCTCGGCTCACCGCAACCTCCGCCTCCTGGGTTCAGGCAATTCTTCTGCCTCAGCCTCCCGAGTAGCTGGGATTACAGGCACTAATTTTTTGTATTTTTAGTAGAGATGGCGTTTCACCATGTTGACCAGGCTGGTCTCAATCTCTTGACCTTGTGATCCACCCACCTCGGCCTCCCAAAGTGCTGGGATTACAGGCTTGAGCCACCGGGCCCAGCCCAACAAACATTTATTTAAGTACCTAGAGATCAGACTATCCATTAATACAAGAAAATATTATGTATGTGTTGTGTTGTCTGTTTCTCATAGAAACTATTCCATAGAAGCAACATTTTATATAGTTAGTAAGGTTCTCAGGTTAGGCTACAGAAGCCCATGGAAGCAATCCCACAATTAAATGACCATGCTGACCAGAGACAATCCAGATTTTGCAGGGTTTGAAGTACTTAACATTTGGGGAGCCACCTTCAAGATTAAACAACACAAAAGTACTAAAACCCCTTAGGAAAGGCTAATGTAAATGGAGGTCATAAAACAATTTGGGGAGCTACCTTCAAAGTAAGAAATACAAAAGTACAAAATGTTGGGCTCATGTAAATGAAGGTCTAAGTCCCATTTGCTTTTGAGTAAACCTACTCTCTCTGGTGCTGGAATTTCTATAGAAATTAACTGCTTTGCAATGTTTATTGCTTCAACGTGAAATGTTCCCCATTTTACCCGGGATTCCCCCGGGACACCTCTCCTCCCCTCCCCGAAAAATTTGGAAGATTTGAGAGGGAGACTCCCAACACTACCAACGCACGTCCCAGGCACCTGGCCACAGCAGGGACAGTGGGACTGGGGACCTCCGCTGGGGTTACAGAAGGAAAAGAGGGAGAGACGAGCAAAATGGGAGGGGAGGGGACAGACAGGTTGGCCACCAAGGTGCCAGGGAGACACTTTAGGCATTGGTTGGCACACCAACCCACTAACTGTGTAACAGTAGTCACCACAAATCACAAATCTGCTTGGTATGCACAAGCTAAATCTACGAGACATTTTATCACAGAATAATCTCTCTAGTTTTTCATAATTATTAAGATGACTGTAAGCATATTTACATAAAAAGAATGAAGAACAATTTTTTTTTCCCCCTGGTCTCATCACCCTTCCACACTACTAGAATCTCTGGATTCCATATCTTCCAACACTCTAAATATCATTTTCCAAAGATCTAATAATCTTTTTGCCCAGAAAAGTTACATTTTAATCTTCAAAGTCACCACTATTACCAACTTTCTCTTAGTCCTAAAGCTTTAGCTTATAAACACTTGCATTCAGTTTGAATTTTTTTTTTTTGTTTCTTCTTTTTTTTTTTTTTTGAGACGGAGTTTCGCTGTTGTTACCCAGACTGGAGTGCAATGGCACGATCTCGGCTCACTGCAACCTCCGCCTCCTGGGTTCAGGCAATTCTCCTGCCTCAGCTTCCTGAGTAGCTGGGATTACAGGCACGTGCCACCATGCCCAGCTAATTTTTTGTATTTTTAGTAGAGACGGGGTTTCACCTTGTTGACCAGGATGGTCTGGACCTCTTGACCTCGTGATCCACCTGCCTCGGCCTCCCAAAGTGCTGGGATTACAGGCGTGAGCCACCGCGCCCGGCCTCTTCTTTTTCTTTTAAATATAATATGGACTGAATGTGTGTGTCCAAATTTATATATTGAAGCCCTAACCCTTAATGTGATGGTATTAGAATGTGGGGCCTATATGAGGCAATTGGATTTTGCTGAATGGAGAGTGGAGTCCTCAAGATAGGATTAGTGTATTGTGAAGAAGAGCCAGAGAGCTTGTTCCCGCCCATCTGCATATGAGAACATAGCAGGAAGGCAGCCATCTAAGCCAGGAAGCGGGTTTCTACTAAGAATTGAGCGGGCTGGCATCATGATCCTGGACTTAAGCCTCCAGACCTGTGAGAAATGAATTTCTTTTGTTTGAACCATGCAGTCTACAGTATTTTGTTATGGAGGCCTGTGCTGACCAAGATAATAGGTTCCCTTTACCACTGATAGTCAAATATATATATGTGTTAAAACCAGCACACCACCCTCCTATGATTTTTCATATAAATCTAAATAAATTCATTTTATGCGATTTATTTATTTACTTACTTATTTATTTTGAGACAGAGTCTTGCTCTGTTGCCCAGGCTGGAGTGCAGGGGCACGATCTCGGCTCACCACAACCTCTGCCTCCCAGGTTCAAGTGATTCTCCTGCCTCAGCCTCCAGAGTAGCTGGGACTACAGGCATGTGCCACCACGCCTGGCTAATTTTTATATTTTTAGTAGAGACGGGATTTCACTATGTCAGGTCAGGCTGGTCTTGAACTCCTGACGTTGTGATCTGCCCGCCTTAGCCTCCTAAAGTGCTGGGATTACAGGCATGAGTCACTGCACCTGGCCCTATGTGATTTATTTTTAAAGTTTTTCTAATGAAGTTAATTTGTGTGAATAATCAAGTTAAAAAGTAGCTTTGGCAGACTCATTCAAAAATAAGTGACCCCAAGATGAAGACTACTCTGAAATGTGCTTTCTTTGCATTTACTCCATG